GGAATTTTTAGTCTTCCTCAAGCAAAAGAAAATTCTTGGCAATATTTGCTTCTCCGAACTGATACTTAGCAGAAAATTGTCTTTGGGTGCCCCTGGTAGCCTCGCCGGGTCAGTTTTGTGCAATTGAGCATGGGATACCACAGTCGTAAGAACAAGATGGGACAGGTAAAAAAATATAAAAGCTAGAAAATATTCCTATATATCACTAACTTCATCAAATGAGTGTGAACCTTGACGTTCCTTTCATAAGCTTGTGCAAATCGTCTTTTGTACTTTGTAGAAGGTTCCATTCAGGACTCACATACCTACGTTTATATTCTGTATATTCTCTCGCCCATTAGTTTATATCAATCCCTTTGAGTATGGACTCGGTTTCACTGCCTTACGCCTAATAATTATCCAAGTTTGGTCGATTGACTAAAGTGAGACTAGTCGATCTAAATGCTTGGAAAATTTGCTGGAAGGTAGAAAGGAATTTTTACAATTCCTTACACCACTGGACGCCCCTACTACAGCTACTACAAGTACTGCAGCTACTACAGGTACTACAGGTACTACAACTACTACAGCTACTACAGGTACTACAACTACTACAGCTACTACAGGTACTACAACTACTACAGCTACTACAGGTACTACAACTACTACAGCTACTACAGGTACTACAACTGCTACAGCTACTACAGGTACTACAACTACTCTAGCTACTACGGGTACTACAGGTACTACAGCTACTACGGCTACTACAGGTACTACAGGTACTACAGGTACTACGGCTGCTAAAGCTACTACAGCTACTACAGCTACTACAGCTAGCTACTACAGCTACTACAGGTACTACAGGTACCATACGTACTACAGCTACTACAGGTACTACGGCTACTACACGTACTACAGCTACTACAGCTACTACAGCTACAACAGGTACGATAGGTACCATAGGTACTACAGCTACTACAGGTACTACGGCTACTACACGTACTACAGCTACTACAGCTACTACAGCTACTATGGGTACTATAGGTACTACAGCTACTACAGGTACTACGGCTACTACAGGTACTACACCTACTACAGGTACTACACCTACCACAGCTACTACACGTACTACAGCTACTACGGCTACTACACGTACTACATGTACTACAGCTACTACAGCTACTACAGTTACTACAGGTACTATGGGTACTACAGCTACTACAGGTACTACACCTAGTACAGGTACTACACCTACCACAGCTACTACACGTACTACAGCTACTACAGCTACTACAGGTATTACAGGTACTACAGGTACTACAGGTACTACAGGGCTACTACAGCTACTACAGCTACTACAGGTACTACAACTACTACTACAGCTACTACAGGTACTACAGCTACTGCAGGTTCTACAGGTACTACAGGTACTACAGGGTTACTACAGCTACTACAGCCACTACAGGTACTACATCTACTAGTACAGCTACTACGGGTACTACAGGGCTACTACAGCTAGTACAGCTACTACAGGTACTACAGCTACCACAGGTACTACACAGCTCCTGCGGGTACCATAGGTCTTACTACAGTACTAATAGTATGGGCGGTGGCCCGGGACATTTTGGGCAGTCTTACACCAAATACTACCCTTGCTCAATGTACACACGTATGACGTAAGGTCACATGATCAAAATCGAAGCGTTTATAGCGAAGCTGCACAAAGGATAGTTTTCCCGGCGAAAAAAGGCACAAAGAGGCATTCGAAGCACATTGTATCTGATTCAATGTGTTAACCGAAGCATTTAGACGGTTTTCCGAAAAAGTGACCTGTTAGCCGTCAGTTACCCTTTAATTCCTGACTTAATACAAGCTGCTGGTGATGGCATGAACAAAGCTCGACCCTGTTAAGAATGTTGCCAAACCTTGAGCGGAAGGAACTTATCGGAAGCGGGAGTTTTGGGAACGTTTACAGAGCGGAATTGGATGGTAAACCAGTAGCAGTGAAAATCCTTCATGAACGCTACTTCAGAGAACCTCACAGCAACAACGAATGTTTGAAGAAGTTCGAAGCGGAGTGCAAAATTCTTCAAAAACTCCAGCATATGAACGTGGTTACGTTATTGGATTTTATCATTTCACATGCTTCACCGCCAATGCTGATAACTGAACTCTTGGATTGTGACTTAGGAAAGCATATTCGTAATTGTCATCCCGGGAAGATTCCATTTTCAGAAACTGTCTCGATTATGTTAGACGTAGCGGAAGGTCTTGCGTATCTTCATAAGCAAAATCCACCGATAGTTCACCGAGACGTGGCCAGCAAAAACATACTTCTTACCAAGGAAAGGCAGGCAAAGATTGCGGACGTCGGTCTTGCCAAAGTGCTTCCAAAAGACGAAAAAAAATATTGTTCTCCTGTACCCGGAACGCCAGTTTATGCTGCACCAGAAACATTTTACCCAGACTATGATCCAAGGTTTCCCAAGTCAAGGAAGGGCCGATCGCGTGTAGAATATGACACCAAGATTGACATATTTTCACTCGGAATCACTTTGATGGAAGTTATAAATGGAAAGCTACCTAATCCTCAGCCAGGTGATGGTCCTTTTACGAGCGGTACGTGTCAAATTTTATGAGCTGTAGAAAAGAATGTGTGAATGCAATTTACAGTTTACCCAAGTGTGCATGTAGAAGTATCATCGAAGTTGAATTTTGAGAATGCACCCTGAATTGATTTTTAAATATTTAGTGATCACTCTCTCTTTAAGAAGAACTTTTCTTGTAATAGACTTTGAAAAGTTTTTTTGGGCTCAGCTGTCATGTTCAAAATAATATCAGCGTCAATCTTGTTCTCAGGCTGCTATCTATCTTTAGTTATTGGTGCTGTCACGGCAGGAGCAAGACAAATAAATACATGTTTATCATCTGCATTACTAATTCCGTATTTCCTCGAATAAGCACCCTCCCTCGAATAAGCACCCTCCCCCGAATAAGCACCCTACGGCCTGGGTCTAAAAATTAATGTCAAATAAGCACCCTCTCCCCCCCCCCTCCTCGAAAAAGTGTCTCCCTCTAGCTCCTCCTTCATTTTCTCAAATTGGTTGGCATGTAGATAAAAACAGTTTCTATAAGGATTGATAGCTCAATCGGAGTGTGCCAAACAATTCGTCAGTGCCATACACATGTACCACATTTACAGTTCCAACTGCATTAACATCATACTTCTTGGCTTAATCCCTGTCGTCTTTTTAAGGAAATGAATGTTTCCCAAGTGTTTGAACAAAAAGAAATATTGAAGTATTGACTTTAACTGGATAATGCTGTAGTTTTTGTTTAACGATTTAACCATTAAGTTACAATTCTTTCAAAGTAAAACATAATAAGTGCCTACTAGATTAAGCACCCTCTTTTGAATGAGCACCCCCCAACCCCCCCCCCTTCCTATAGCAGAATTTTAAATAAATGTTTTTAAGGAAATGAATGTTTCCCAAATTTTTGAACAAAAAGAAATATTGACTTTACGCGGATAATGCTGTAGTTTTTGTTTAACAATTTAGCCAATAAAGTTACAGTTCTTTGAAAGTAAAACTTAATAAGCACCCACCAGATTAAGCACCCTCCTTTGAATAAGCATCCCCCCCTTCCTTTAGCCAAATTTTAAATGAGTGTCTTGGCACTCATTCAAGGAAATACGGTATCAGTGAATTATTGAGCTTCAAATTTTTCCCTTACCCAACTATACAAAACTTCAATAGTGGTGTCACTGGTACCTTATGCTTCTCTTGTCCAATACATTGTCATTGATTTACAATTCGATCTTCTTTAGCTCAAAACTTAAGCAAATTATACATTCTCTTCTGTGTTTAAAGATGGTGTACAGATCCCAGAAAAGGATCGTCGTAAAGGTGACATCAAGATGATGGGTGAGCACAAGCTGAAGGAAATTGTGTTTCTTTGTATAGAGGATTCCAGTGACAAAAGACCTAGTGCTGAGAAGCTCACTGAAATGCTTCAACAAGAATGTTCAAAAATCGAGCAGAAGAAAATTATTGCAAACAGAGCTGTAGGAGAAATCCCAGTTATTGAAGTCACAGTTCTCGGGATATCACATGTGGGAAAGACATGTCTTATTTCAAAATTTGTTGACCACGTGTTCCCTGGTGCGGTAGTTGCCACAATTGGTTGTCGTTATGAACATGTTCCCATCAAAATCCGGAGTAGAGACTTTAAAATGAGAGTTCAAGATACTGCTGGACAGGAAAGATTTCGCCATTCCCTCATTCCAACACTAATTCGGCGGTCTCAGGGAATCCTCCTCGTATATGACGTGAACAACCCTTCTTCTCTCTGGGAAGGTGTTCCTGAAATGTTGCATTTTATCAATCGGGAAAGACCGGACATTCCGAGTTTGCTTTTAGTGGGCAATAAGGCAGATTTGATGGAAAGCGAGCAGAGTGAACTTGTTGTTTCTAAGGAGGGTGAACATTTTGCTCAAAATTGTGGAATTCCCTTCATTGAAACTAGTGCAAAAAGTGGAAAAAATGTTGAAAAAGTGTTTGAAATGATTGCAGAGAATATCTATGATTATTTGGATTTGTCTGATATTGATACCTTTATCTCAAATGGCAGAGGAGATGCAATCACAGTCATGAATGATCCTCCACGTGAACGAGGTTTCCTTGAACAGATTGGCGACTGCTTTAGGTCTGGGTGGAACTGGTTCAAAGGAATATTTAATAGAGGCTGAAACTATTCACAAGATGGAAATAACCATTCACAAGGTGACTCATAAAACCATAATTTACTGGAATTTAGATTAGTCTGATATTGATGTGTATGCTTGTAGCAGAGAATTAGAAAGTATCCCAAAATAAGGTGTCAAATTGGTGGTCACAGAGTTAGATTATTGCAAGATTAAGGTGCTACTGAACCTTCACTACAATAGTTAAATGACTTTGCAGAAAATTGAATGTTAATGTTTGCAATTTTCATACATGGTAAAAATTAACTTTTATTTTGCCAATATTCACATGTCACTGCCTAAGTGAGCTTATATACAAACAGGCTTCCCTGGTCAATCTCACAATCAGTTAAACTGAATTAAATTCAATAACTGCAATAAGTGCATTCCCCAATAAAAATATTTGCATGACTCGCATTTTGGCAGTAACAACTATGACTGTTCTTTGTTGACTCCCATGTATTTCCTAGCAAAGATTTCTCAGATAACAGTTCTAAATTGACACTTTTGAGCTTTGGTTCGGCTGAAAATTTAGAATTTGTGGCCTGCTACCAGAAACATAGTTAGCCTCAATCTCTTTTTTTCATAGATGGTCTTCACTTGTGGAGATTCAATGAATTTAAATAGGGAGTGTTATCATTCAAAACTCTGCAACTCTTTCAAGCTCTGATGATGTCAACTTCTTTAACCTCGTTACCAGTGTATATGAAAAATATCTCTTAATTTTTTTTACATTTTCTCTTGAAAAGAACACTTCATCCTCAAGTAAACTCAGGGATCAATACAATCAGATTTTCATGAAATGGATGAGAACATCTCCTTCACAATTTGTAGCACTGATCAACAGTTAACTCAGAACATGTTCGTACTAAAAGCAATATATTTTAGCTTAATTGGACATTTTTCAGGCAGAATTCTTTATCATCAATTAAAACCTCTACTGCACAGACTGTACCATCATTCACAGTTGTAATTTATCGATATTATACAGCCTCTGCAACTGAGAATTTTTCAATTGTTCCAATTGCATACTTTGTAATTCTTAATCTTTTCTCTTTCTAATAATTTATCCCATTAGTCGATAGTTAATAGGTTTTTAACTATATCATATTGTTAATTATATTGTTAGGCTTTTTTTAATAGTTCATTAGAAAATAGTTAGTAGGTTATTAACTATATTAAGTGTCCCCTATTAGTAGAGGAGTTTTAAACCCATCAGCTAGATATTCAAGACACAAATAAAGTTTATGATATCATGATTTATGATTCAGCCCTACAATCAGTGTGAAGAGTGTTCAATCAGTTGCTTAAGTGAACTCCCTTCTAAAATCTATGTTGAAGTATCTTTCCAATGAAGGTGAATTTGAATCAAGCAGCATTCATTCAGTTTCTTGGCCATGTGAGTTACTGATGTAATTAACAGCTTCCTTCGGTCTTCCTTCGGATGACACTCAAATATTGGGAAAATTTCAGCTCATACTTAATCCTTTCACTCCCACAAGTGACCAGGACAGAATTTCTCCTTACAATATCAATACAATATCAAGCAGGCAGGTGATGAGAATAGAGAAGAATGTCAACCATGGGATTATTAGTTGATCCAATACCAAATTCTCTGAACTAACATCATAAGAATTGTATGGCAGATAGTAAGGAGAATTACTAATTAGATTTTGGGAGTGAAAGTATTAATTATGCATACACATCTTATTGGTGATACATTGAATAATAAAGCCCCATATGTGGATGCATAATGAAGTATGGGGCTGTGTGGAAATTTTGTCCAATGCCCTCCTAACGTACAAGTTAACTTTAGTGCTGAGGGCAGGACTGGCCGCTGAAATTATTTGAGATTGAAACAAGGCAGTGTCTTTCCAGTTTTCGGAAGGTGTCTAAAACGTTGAGCCCGCGCAACCATAGTTCGGAGATAGGGTGGTTACCAAGCGCTTCACATCGGCCAAGCTTCGCGAGCCACACAAGAAGATGGACTCGTGATACAGAAATTTTTAAAATTCGGGAACAGCTCATACCTCCAGATAAGTCTTTCGCTCCCAGTGTTATTTATTTTGCTGCTTTAAGTTTTTGTACGAATTGTTATCGTAAGTTATCGTGGCTATGAGATCGTTTTTCGTTTTCCCAAGGAATCATTCACGTACACACTCCATCGGTGTAATGTGTAATATGGCATAGCTTAACAGTCTACATCAGATATTTAGTTGTATAAATCAAAGTTACTGGGACAAAGTGTTTACTTTCTAACATGCTCTTGGGTCCCACTAGTTTCCTGCACGAATTATGCAAGATGGAACGCGATGTGAAGTGAATGTAGATATGTACACTGCAAAAGAAACTGAAACGTCTCATTTTACTCCTACAATCTGCACATGTTTCAGTTTTACGTTCTTCAAGGTAAAGCGAGCTGTACATTGCTGCAAGCTCATGTGTTTATAGACATGAAAGTAAGAAAATTTGAAAAAAAAAAAGAAAACTTTGGGATGGCTTTGTAGAATTTCTTTGAGTGTGACACTGTTTAAATTGTTACATCACGGTCTGACTCGTTATTCAGGTAAGTTAGGAAAAAGTGATTCTTATTGTATTCTTTTTGATGAAATAAAGGTTCCAAATCAATCAAAATCATGAAAGTGTCTTAAATTTAAAAGTCACTCAGAATTTGATCTTTTTCTGACTCATTGAGTAAGAAGGAAAAACAAGAGTAACGACTCTGTCATTACCATCATCATCAGTGCTACACAGAATTTGTATGAATTATAAAGAATGGAATATCAGGTATATTCATAGGCAGGATAGTTTCTACACAGTATATCAAAAGAAAACCAACCATATCCTATAACTTTGCTCAAAGAAGTATTCTGTTATCTGGGATGATGAATTAAACCCAGGTCCTGGAGCAGTAATGTGTGGAGGTTCTGATAACCTGTTGAACTCTAGACTGCATAAGGCATTGTTTGAATCCTCTAGATGTTGGTGGAGGTGGTGATTGTCTTAAGTCTTTATCATATCAGTTATACAGTAATGTGTAGAAGCAAGGGCTGCTGGTGTTCAATGTTTAAGAGAGCATCCAGAGATGTTCATAGAAGGTATTGTGAATAGGTCATGTTGTCAATTCTTCTTCAAAGGCAGACTTATTTTTTATCACTGATGGTATTCAATAAAATCCAATCCCTTTGCCCCTGTCACTTCTGCTGCCACTGCTGAAAACTACCCAAAGAACCATTTCCACTTTCCCACTTTTACCTGACTACAAGCACATTTGTAACTATTTGCTTGGGCACCATTATCATGGATAGCAACCATCGTCAAGACAAGACATGGCTGCAAACCAAGAATAGGCTGCATGTTGATCTGGAAGACACAGGAGGAAAAACAGCTTATGTCGAGTATGGCATGTTTGCTTAAAAGTATCATCAAGGGCTTGGGTCTTATTCAGGTTTGCCTGATAAAGAAATTTTATCATTTGTCAGTCTCTAGATCTATTTCAGTGTGGAGCTGAATTATAAATGCATTTGACTGAATCTTACTATGATCTAGTTGAGAACAGACACACAGATGACATGAGCATCAATAACTTTTCCGTACATTTTACACTTCAAACAGTTAGTGGGTGTAACAGACCATAGAAGGCATCAAAATAGGAACTTCAGGGACAAAATCGGCTGCACCTTGTGCACCACTTTTTTGTCCTTACCCATTTTTTATGTTTTCTATGATCTATTGCCTGTCCAGTACACTGAATTGAAATTCATTGGTCAGCCTCCCAAAGAGTATTGACAGTCAGAGTTCAGTGGCAACTATGTTTTGGTTTCCTTGCAGATCCAGGTCCTCTATCTCCAGATCCATCCCTTGCAGATAAAAACAAGTATTTCATTTGTTATCTTTCACCATGTAATTGCTGCTGTTAAGCTGTAATGTGCACCCTTTTTTATTTGTTTCATTATGTGTTATTTGAACAATTCATATATGAATGTGTGTAACAATAGGTGTAATTGTAATTAAGAAATGGCTAGCGTTTAGGTGTGTGGTGTTAATTGTAATTAAATTTCATTTGAAATGCTGCTAGACTCATTATATATTCAGTTTCGTTTGTACCTTCGAGGCACTTGATAGAGATTAAATGTCTGTTCAGTAACCGCTTGAACGCGTGGATCGCTCTGTTATTACATGTGGGAGGCAGCTAAGCAAGAGAGAAGCATAAGAGTCACAAGAGGTGATAGCAAAGTGTGACTCTAGCTTCTTAAGTGCTTTCATAACTCAATGGTTGCATGCTGCATGTTAACCATTTCTTTTATAACATTGAGACTGTCAAACATTTTTTGTTTCTTGAAAAAAAAAGAGGAAAACAAACTGAAGTTAGCATGTAACCCACAGGCAAATGCTTCAAGTGTATTTTGTAAAGCTATGTTCCAATCATTTTACTGTTGTCTTCCAGATGCACAGCCTGTTCAGGACACTGAACCAGCATAGTATTATTCCTTTTATTTTAAGTGTAAAAAGTTAAGGAGAGAGTTTGCTTATTAAAGGCATCTAACAATGAACATTGTGAAAATATTACAGGATAACAGGATGTGCAGGATTACAAACCTTGTTTTAGGAGAGAAGTTTTTGTGAAACTAATTTGTGAAGAGATGGACTCTGTATGCATGCATATTACTCTCTTTTACCTTTCAATGAATTGCAGCGTATAAAATGCCAATTTTTGTTTGTTATGTTGTTGTGAAAGTGGTAACTGCATTTCCTATTAGGCTTATCTCGTAGAATAACGTATCATCAGTCTTCAAAAAGCAATTTTGTATAAGTATTTGAGGGTTCTGATAAAGGTGACGTTTTAACTGTAATTTGAATTTTTAGATGGTTATTCTAGATTATGAATGTTAATTAGAAAAATAATGGCACCTACTGAGGCAACTATACCATTTTAATAGAGCCTAATTGCCTTGTGCAGCAGTTTATATTTACTTCTAGTACAAATTTCAATTTTTACTTTCACAGCCCTAAAACTTCGATTTCTTACCTGTATAGTGCATAAGCAAGCTGGTAAATATAAAGAATGGTCCTATTTTAATTTTGCAAATGTTGTCTCTCTGTCTCTTGACACGACTTAAGCATCACCAGGGTCAGTGAGGTAAGGGTACCCCCCTCCCCCTCCTGCCCCCCTGTAGCTTAAGGATGCATTCCTTGAGGACCACTTTAAATAGCACTTGAGAGTGAAATTGAAATATTCGGTTGAAAAGGAACATGGGCAGACCTCAACAAATACTCCTTGCGCCTATTTTGTGCACAGTGAACATGTGCTCGTTATTTGTTGATTACCAACTTCGTGGAAAAAACTATTATTCTTGTTATAAAAGTATGGCAATATACTCTTTCCCAGATACCTTCTGACCTGCTGGCTGAGTCGCCAACGCGGTAGAATATTCCTGAGAAGTTCGATTTTAATTTCTCGCTTGTCTATTTGGTCATCATTGGTCATATTGGTCATTTTGCTTGATTTGATTGTCATGGTATGTGTGCAAGCGAACTGAACTTCCACCCTCAAACTTGACATTTTTATTTCACCCCTTGTGATTGTCGGAAAAACGGAGACCCAATTTACTGAGAGCAGATAAAAGCTAAATTATGCCGTAGGCTATGAAAAGTAAGGATGACTTTTAATTGTAGCGCTTAGTGTAGGGAAAGAGAATGGAGATTTCATCCGATGAGAGAAACCTGGGAATAAGACATCTAAGTGGCGAAAGTATCGACAACTTCCGGCTTTGATGTTTATTCTACAGACAGTTGACGATAGTAAGGGGAAAAATTATGTCCTGTTTAGAATGTTACCAAATCTTAAGAGGAAGAAACTTCTTGGAAGCGGGACTTTTGGAAGCGTTTACATAGCCGAATGGAATGGTGGACCAGTAGCAGTGAAAATCCTTCATGAACGCTACTTCAGAGAACCTCACAGCCACAACAAGCATTTCTCTCAGTTTGAAGCAGGATGCAAAATTTCTTCAAAACCTCCAGCACAAAAACGTGTTTACGTTATTGGAATTTATCATTTCACATACTTCACCACCAATGCTGAGAACTGAACTCTTGGATTGTGACCTAAGGGAAGGTACGTTTTTTATCGGGGAGGGGGTGATTAGTAAAGTTTTTACAAATTGGGAGGGGTCAAACCTGTTTTATCCGCAACCGGTGGTGGGTCACAATTTTTTTTGACAAGGAAAAAAATTTCTCCATGTCGCTTAGTTGACTCATTTGTTAACAAACACGCGAAATGTATAGAAACCTAAAACTTGTATATACAAGCAAAGCTACCAGTGAAGATTAATCTAAATTATTCAATACGCCGTCCGTTTGAATTGAACAGCGCATTATCATCTTCGGTCACTTTCGCATTCAGCTCATCGATTTTGATCTTCAGCTTCGAAAGGTCATCAATGTTGTCCTTAATCGTGGTAGCGTCATGGTGTTTTTGCGCTAAAAATTTTCCTCCGTGAATCTCACGGCAGCCGCTGGATTATCAGAAGTCACAAAAGCCAACTTGTAATTTATTGCTTTCAAAGCCTCGCGAACTTTCCATTAGCGCTTTCTTTCGGTCACAAACAGCGGCGAAAGTGTTCCTTGTAGGGACAAGTGGTCCCAAAGGACAGGTAGAATTTTTGGCAGAGTACAATTTGAGAACTCAGTGTATTCGCCCTTTGGGTTCGGGAACCACCCCAGGTCTTCATCTTTCCACTTCTCTGCACTTGCACTTTCACTTGTTCCCTCACCCGATGTGCCACCAACAGAGTCAGGAGTAGCGGGCATCCTTTTTAGAATGGCGAGTCGGCAAACAGCCACAGTAGCCACAAGTTGCTCCATCTGACCTCATGAAATCCTCGCATTCACCACAAGCGCATTTCCCTCTTTCTATTCCTCGTACATCCTCGCCCATTTTCATTTTTTCACCGTACAATCACATGCCACGCAATTAACTGCTTTGTGGGCAGACGCGGTAATGTGAGTAACACTTCCGGTTATTCTTGTCTTCTATGGAGGAGGAGGGGGGAGGGTCAGATGTTTTTGTGTAGGTGTTTGTGAAGGGTCGTGCTTTAATCCATTCTGAGAAGTGGGAGGGCCACGACTTTTTTCGCAAAAAGTTTCTAACATACCCCGACCCATCCCCCCCCTCCAGTAAAAAAGGTACCTTCCCTAAGAGAGCGTATTCGTGATGTCATCCAGGGAGGATTCCATATTCAGAAACTGTCTCGATTGTGTTAGACGTGGCGGAAGGTCTCGCGTATCTTCATCAGCAAAATCTACCGATAGTTCACTGAGACTTGGCCAGCAAAAACATACTTCTTACAAAGGAAAAGCAGGAGAAGATTGCTGATGTCGGTCTTGCTAAAGTGCCTCCAAAAGGCGACCAAAATTATTGTTCTCCTGTACCTGGAACGCCAGTTTATGCTGCACCGGATACGTTTCACCTCGACTACGATCCAAATTTTCCCATTTCAAGGGGTCGACGCGGGTTGAATATGACACCAAGCTTGACATCTTTTCACTTGGAATCACTTTGATGGAAGTTATAAATGGACGGCTGCCCTCCCCACAACCATGGATACCTTTTACGAGCGGTATACGCGTGTGGCTATTGCACGAACTCTTCACGCTAGTGACATCGAAGTTCTTAAGAGAGAGCAAGGGTAGGCGGGTCGTAAGGGGTGGGAGCTCTCGGAGCTTGAGCTTGGTATACGTCTTTAGCCAACCAACGAGTTCTCTGTAGCTCAGTGCTGCAGTGTGGTATCTTGAAACCTAACTTAAACCCATGGAACATGCACCCACACTGGCAAGCTCTAGAATTGCAACTTATCAAGCCTGTGATGCAATTATACTTTTTTTTCTGTGTATTGAGCAGATGGTCTACAAATACCAGAAAGGGAACGTCGTAAGAGTGACATCGAGATGATGGGTGAGCATAAGCTGAAAGATATCGTCTTCTGCTGTATCAAGTTCGGTGTAGGAAAATCATCCCTAATTTAACGATATTCTAACCACATCTTCTTTGAGGATATTGTTCCTGCGGGTGGCTTGAACTTTAAGAATTCTACAATCCGTCTGCTCGACCGAGAGTTTATTTTGAAAATTGTTGATACAGCAGGCTAAGAAAAATGCAAATCCATGGTTCCATAGCTCATACGAAACGTTCAAGGCATTGCTATTGTGTACGATGTAACAATTAAGTCTTCTTTCACTAAAGGAGTTCCCAGAATGCATCAGTTCATTAAGAACTGTGCACCAGATAATGCGAGTATAATTTTAGTGAGTAATAAAACAGAGGAGGACAGGTCATCACTAGAAAGAGAGGGGAAAATTGTGCCAAACAGCTCGGCACTAGCCACATCGAGACGATTACAAAAACTGGCCTAAACGTTGAAGAAATATTTAGAATGATTGCAAAAGAGATCTATGGCAACTTAGATTTGTCTGATATTGACGCAGAGAAAGAGAGAGTAACCTCGATACTGAATCAAGTTGTAACTGTTAAATTATCACAAGACTGAGGTGGCAATGATCTTTCATTAATGAAAAACGGGTATCATCCATCTCATTTTAAGGTACAGGTACACAAAACCTAAAGAATGAGTATTTCTAAAAAGCTGCGGTGGTGCTGTAGTGACATTGCACGTGAAAAGAACGAAGTATTCCAAAAATTAGGTGTTCTATTTCACTTGCAAGGAGACCAACAAAAACGCAGTGTATTTTCAATCAGCTAGTTTAAGAATAGTTGTTTCAGGTTGACAAAGCCATTTTATCAACTTTAAGTACAGTAACTGTGAACATGATGAAGATAAGATTGTGAGATACGTTTTGACCGTTTGAATAGCTTACAGCACTTAAGGTAAAGATGCTATTTTTACAATGTGGTGAAAATGTAGGTAAATGTAGTTTGGATTAAGCTTGTAAGGGTGACACTTTGGTGAAAGGATTTTCCCTCCAATTTTCCTTTTCCCACAAAAATCAATGTTCCTTACGACCCTTTATTATTGTTTATTTGCCTAGCCTTCGAAAAACGTTTTTGAAAAGTTAGAGATTTTCGAAGTTGCAGTAATATTGTATTGTTATTTTTCAAGTGAGATGTCAATAAAGAAATCTTTGTGTCAGGTTAATAATGCAGTTCTTTTGTAAACTCATTTACTTAAGGTTTTATGTAAGGAATTTTTTAATCATTTTTTCCATATCAATGTTGTATTTGTAGCATTGGTCCACTATTAGAATTTAGAATTTAGATCACCGAGCTTGAGTGATGAAGTACCTTCTGTTAGCCTGTACCGAAAACATAAATTAGTTAATCATCACAAATGAATAAAGAGGGTAAGTTTCTAAAGAAACTTGTGCTGCGTCGACTCGGTGGGAGAGTATCACAGGGTAACTGAGTTGATAACGTCAATTGGCCACCGTGGATAATTTAAAAGCTAAACTCTTTGCGGTGGCCAATTTACGTTATCAACTCAGTTGATAATACTATAATACTTAATTACCTACTTATTACAGAGGCTTCAGCATTAATTAAAAAACAATAGAATACTTAGACCTTTGACGCTGAAAACCCTACGTTACCCCTATTTGACTCTACCAATGGAATAAGCAAGCCTTAGAATTTATTTCAACGCTTTTAATAGGTGCATGCTCTCAGAAATAGTTTTACGATATTTTATCATCAGCTCAAACCAACAATCTTCAATCAACGATTCACAATCAACGATCCTTTGATGACTTCTTCAATAATCAACTACGTATAGAATAACTACGAAATCCACCAAATCTACGAAATCACACCATCTGAGCTATCCTATCCACACTTCCTGGAAGAGCCATACAGTCATCGGGTCTCGTCGTTCATGGATCATGCTTAGTTGTAGGTGTCATTTTTTTGGAACTGAGTGTCTACTGAAGTTATATATGAAACAACTAATAGAAGCTTTCCTCGTTATTTTTCGGATTTTGGAGTTATATAATGCTCCCAGGGTCTTGTATTTGGCCATGTTGGCAAATATCATGGTGACTGACTTGTATTGTCAGGCTGTTGCCTGCGCAGATACTCCAGTTTACCTGTCGGAAAAGTAAGAAATGGTCAGCGTGCAGCGTGCAACCATCGAGGTATGGATGCACGTGGGAGGCTGCTAAGCACGAAAGAAGCGTAAGAGTCGCACGAGGTGATAGGTAAGTGTGACTCTAGCTTCGTGAGTGCTTAGTAAACCTCCTAAGCGCATCCATAACTCAGTGGTTGCACGCTGCACGCCAACTATTTCTTCTATAACATTAAGAATTTCAAGCATCTTTCGTTTCTTGGCGTAGGGAAAGAGAAGCAGACCTCTAATGTAAAGACTTCATTGTATGAGAGGAACCTGGGAACAAGACATTTAAGAAGCGAAAGTTTTGATAATTTTGGGCCTTGATGTTTGTACTAAACACAGGCTGTTAGTGATAGCATAAACAGAGCTCAATCCTACTGAGAATGTTGCCAAACCTTAAGCACAAGAAACTCATCGGAAGCGGGAGTTTCGGGAACGTTTACAGAGCCAAATTGGATGGCAAACCAGTTGCAGTGAAAATCCTTCATGAACGCTTCTTCAGAGAACCTCACAGCCACAACAAATATTTCTCTCAGTTTGAAGCGGAATGCAAAATTCTTCAAAACCTCCAGCACAAAAACGTGGTTACGTTATTGGAATTTATCATTTCACATACATCACCGCCAATGTTGATAACTGAACTCTTGGATTGTGACTTAAGAGGGCATATTCGTGATTGTCATCCAGGGAGGATTCCATATTCAGAAACTGTCTCGATTATGTTGGACGTGGCGGAAGGTCTCGCGTATCTTCATCAGCAAAATCCACCGATAGTTCACCGAGACTTGGCCAGCAAAAACATACTTCTGACCAAGGAAAAGCAGGCGAAGATTGCCGATGTCGGTCTTGCCAAAGTGCTTCTAAAAGGCGAACAAAATTATTGTTCTCCTGTACCCGGAACGCCAGTTTATGCTGCACCAGAGACGTTTCACCTCGACTATGATCCAAATTTTCCCATTCCAAGGGGCCGATCGCTTGTCGAATATGACACTAAGATTGACATCTTTTCGCTCGGAATCACTTTGATGGAAGTTATAAATGGACGGCTGCCCTCCCCACAACCATGGATACCTTTTACGAGCGGTACGTAACGTACTTTTGTAAACAATGTTATTAACTTAACACAGTTATGGTAATTTGTTAAGGTGAGGTAAGACAAAGAAAATACAGGTCCGCAATACGTGTTTGGCCCACAAATTCCTCACGCTACTGACACTGAAGTTTCCTAGAGAATGTAAAACCTTAAAATAAGAGATGGTCATAAACCGTGTGTAAACTTTATCGTAGTATAATGTTGAAAAAAAACAACAGACCAAAAAAATCAGAACGTCTTTGGGGCAGTAAATGGAAGAAAAGAGGGTATTAATTAAAGTTATGTAGACCCCGACCGTGAAAAGTCATAATTTTTGAAAAATCCATCAGTCAAATTTGTTTGTTTTTCGCTTTACATTTTGACTTACGGCAAGCGGGTGGTAGGGGCTGGGGGTGAGGGGTGATATCTGGGAGCTTGAGCCCACCAACGAAGTCTTTGTAGCTCTGTGGTAGAGTATATAATTAGTATCTTGAAATCTTACTGAACCCTGTAAAATACTCGGGAAGTTGGCTGTCAAATGCTAATCTGTTCTTGTAGCCACGCTGGCAAGCATTATAATTGCGACTTATTAAGGTTGTGGTGCAGCAAGCTATACTTTTTTCTCTCTTTATTGCGCAGATGGTCAACAAATACCAGAAAGGGAACGTCGCAAACATGACATCGAGATGATGGGTGAGCATAAACTGAAAGATATCGTCTTTTACTGTATTAAGGACTCCCATAAGATGAGGCCTTGCGCCGAGAGGCTCACTAAGTTGTTTCGATGCGAATCTGAAAAGATACAACAGAAAGAACGCATTGTTGAGGGGGGTGAAACTGCAAATATTGAAGTTGCTGTTCTTGGAGAGTCTGGTGTAGGAAAGTCGTCTCTACTTTTACGGTATTCTGACCAAATCTTCATGGAGAAAGTCCCTTCTACGTGTGGCTTGGACTTTAAGAATTCTAAAATCCGTCTGCACGACCGAGAGTTTACTTTGAAAATTGTTGATACGGCAGGACAAGAAGTATTTCAAGCGATGACACCACAACTCATACGAAAAGTTCAAGGCATTGCTATTGTGTATGACGTAACTGAGGAGTCCTCCCTTACTGAAGGCGTTCCCAGAATGTACCAGTTGATTAAGGATTATGCACCAGACAATGTGAGTTTAATTTTAGTGGGTAATAAAGCAGGGGAGGGAGAACGCGTCATCACCAGAGAGGAAGGGGAAAACTTTGCCAAAAAGCTTGGCATTAGCCACATCGAGACAAGTGCAAAAACTGGCCTAAATGTTGAAGAAATGTTCTCAATAATTGCAAACGAGATCTATGACAATTTAGATTTGTCTGATATTGATATGTACTTCTCAGATGGAAGAGATGTAATCAAGGTCAGAAACGATGATCCTCCTCGTGAGAGAGGTTTCCTCGAAAAGATTAGTGACTGCTTTAAGCCAGGGTGGAACTGGCTTAGAGGCAGAAACGATTCACAAAGAGACCAAGCACGTACTCAATGGTACTGCTAAGAAACTCTATCACAGTGAAATAACTGCATTGGAGCTTTCCATTGACAACACAAGACTTGAGGAATCAGTGGGAGAAAAACTTCTTGGTGTCATAATTGATCTTCATCTTTCTTGTAACTTACATATCGACAATCTAATAAAAAGGCTGAACTCTAGAATATGTCTTCTTAAGAGAGCTAAAGTCCATTTAACCATTCAATGCAGAAAAATGTTATTTAATGCTCTCATTAAGCCTATTCTTAATTATTGTTGTACTGTTTGGGGTAAATGTTCTGTTGAAAACCTTCAAAGGCTGTTAAAAGTACAAAAACAATGTGCAAGATCAATATTGGATGCCACCATTAATGACAGCTACGTAGAACTTTTTGATAAATTAGGCTGGCTACCTATAGATGACATTGTGCACATTAGAAAACTCTTTATGTTACACAAAGTTAGCCAGGGTCATTGTCCTGAATATTTCACCTCATATTTTAAACATGCTAGGTCTACACATGGTTATCGAACTAGATCTCCTATCTGTAATGACGTTTTGACATCATCATGTCAAAGAAACTTAGGGCTCAGGACTTTCCACTCAAGTGCATGTCATCTATGGAATAATCTAGGTAACACATACAGAAACATAATTTCTCTCTCAAATTGCAGAAAATGCTACAGAATAATTTTATCAAAGAAAACTCTTTACTAGAACATTTCAAGATTAGTAAGACTTTTTGATTTTTATAATAAATAATAATAATTTAGTTGGAAGTGTAATAATTAGTAGAATCAGTATAATTTTTGTTTTTGTTTTTGTTGAGGGCCATCATGTAAACTACCAGGCTACTGGTAATGTATTTCACCCTCAATAAATAAAGTATTTGTTTGTTTATTTGATTCACAAGATGAAAATAACCATTCACAAGGTGACTTGTAAGACCATAGTTTACATATTAGTCTGATATTGATGTGTACATATGAGGCAGAGCAATAAAAAGTAACCCAAAAAACAGCATCAAGTTGGTGGTCACAGTGTTAGATTATTGCAAGATTGAGGTGGCTATGAACCTTCATCACAGTATTTAAGTAACTCTGCAGAAAATTGAATCTTGGTTTGCAATTTGTATACATGGTAAAAATTAACTTTTATTTTGCCAATATTAAAGTGTCACTGCTTAAGTTAACTTATACACAAACAGGCTTCCCTAGTCAATATCAAAATCAGGTAAAATGGATTAAAAGCAATAACTACAATAAGTGCATTCCCCAATAAAAATATTTGCATGACTCACATTTTGGCAGTAACAACTATAACTGCTCTTAGTTGACTCCCAGGTATTTCCTAACAAAGATTTCTCAGATAACAGTTCTAAATTTACACTTTTGAACTTTGGTTTGGCTGAAAATTTAGAATTTGCGGCCTGCTACCAAAACAGTTTGACTCAATCTCTTTTTCCATAGATATTTTTCACTTGTGGAGATTCGATGAATTTAAAAAAGAAGCGTTATTGATCAAAAGTCAGCCACTCTTTCAAGTTCTGATGATGTCAACTTCTTTAACTTCATTACCAGTGTATATGGAACATTTTTCTTAATTTTTTTACATTCTCTCTTGAAAAAAATTAATCCTCAAGTACACTCAGGGATTAATACAATCAGATTTTCATGAAAAGGATGAAAACATCTCATTCACAATTTGTAGCACTAATCAACAATCAACTCAGAACATGTTCATACCAAAAGCAATATAAATTTTAGCTAAATTGTACATTTTTCAAACAGAATTCTTAATCATCAATTAAGACCTTCTCTATTATACAGACTGTGCCATCATTCACAGTTGTAATTTATCGATAATATACAGCCTCAGCAATTGAACGTTTTTTGCCCTACAGTCAGTATGAAGGGTGTTCAATCAATTGCCTAGGTGCACTCCATTCTAACATCTTTGTTAAAGCATCTTTCCAATGAAGGCAAAGTTGAATCAAGCAGCATTCATTCAGTTTCTTGGACATGTGAGTTACTGATGCAACTAACAGCTTCCTTCGGTCTTCCTTCGGTTGACACTCAAATATTATAATAAGAAGAACCCACATGACACTCCAAGTATACCTAAGTAATCACTCAATATTGAACCCAGATATCAATGCCCTCCTAACGCACAACTTTAATTTAGTGCTGAGGGCAGGACTGGCCGCTGAAATTATTTAAGATTGAAACAACGCAATGTCTTTCTAGTCCAGCAGTTGTTTTCGGAAGTTGTCAAATACGTTGAGCCCGCGCAACCATAGTTCGGAGACTGGGTGGTTACCAAGCGCTGCACATCGACCAAGCTTCGTGAGCTATATAACAGGATGGACTCGTGATACAGAAATTATTAAAATTCGGGAACAGCTCATACCTCCAGATAAGTCTTTCGCTCCCAGAGTTAACTATCTTGCTGTTTTGAGTTTTTGTACGAATTGTTAATGTAAGTTATCGTGGCTATGAGATCGTTTTTCGTTTTCCCAAGGAATCATTCATGTACATACTCCACCGGTATAATGTGTAATATGGCATAGGTTAACAGACTACATCAGATATTTAGTTATACAAATCAAAGTTACTGGGACAAAGTGTTTACTTCATAACATGCTCCTGGGTCCCACTAGTTTCTTGTACGAATTATGCAAGATGGAACGCGATGTGAAGTGAATGTAGATATGTACACTGCAAATTCAAAGATGAGCAAAAAGAAACTGAAACGTCTCATTTTACCCCCTACAATTTACACATGTTTCAGTTCTACGTTCTTAAAGGTAAAGTGAGTTGTACATTGCTGCAAGCTCATGTGTTCATAGGCATAAAAGTGCGAAAATTAAGAAAAAAAGAAAACTTAGGGATGGCTGTGGAATTTCTGAGTGTGACACTGTTTAAGTTGTTACATCACGGTTTTACTCGTTATTCAGGTCAGTTAGGAAAAAGTGATTCTTATTGTATTCTTTTTGACGAAATAAAGGTTCCAAATCAATCAAAATCATGTAAGTGTCCTAAATTTAGAAGTCACTCAGAATTTGATCTTTTTCTGACTCACTGAGTAAGAAGGAAAAACAAGGGTAATGACTCTGTCATCACCATTATCATCAGTGCTACACAGAATTTGTATGAATTACAAAGAATGAAATATCAGTTATATTCACAGACAGGATAATTTCTATACTCAGTATATCAGAAGAAGACCAACCATATCCTGTAACTTTGCTCAAAGAAATATTTTGTTATCTGGAGATGTTGAGTTAAACCCAGGTCCTGGAGCAGTAGTGTGGTGGGTCTGATAACCTGTTGAACTCTAGACTGCATAAGGCATGGTTTGAGTCCTCTAGATGTTAGTGGAGGTGGTGATTACTTTAAGTCTGTATCATATCAGTAGTACAGTAATGTGTCGAAAAAAGGGCTGCTGGCGTTAAATGGTTAAGAGAGCATCCAGAGATGTTCATAGAAGGTATTGTGAATAGGTCATGTAGTCAATTCTTCTTCAAAGGCAGACTTGTTTTTATCACTGATGGTATTCAATAACATCCAATCCCTTTGCCCCTGTCACTTTTGCTGCCACAGCCAAAAACTACACAAAGAACCATTTTATACTTCTCACTTTTAACTAACCACAAGCACATTTGTAACTATTTGCTTGGACACCAACATTGCAGATAGCAGCTGTCGTCAAGACAAAAGTCACGTGGATGAAAACCAAGAATAGGCTGCATGTTGATCTGGAAGACACAGAAGGAAAAACAGCTTATGTCGAGTATGACATGTTTGCTTATAAGTACCATCTGAGCCTTAGGTCTTATTCAGGTTTGCCTGATAGAGAAATGCTATCATTTGTCAGTCTCTAGATTTGTTTCAGCATTGACCTGAATTATATATGCATTTGACTGGATCTTACTATGATCTAGTAGAGAACATACACATAGATGACATGAGCATCAAGAACTTTTCCTTACATTTTACACTTTGAACAGTTAGTGAGTGTCTGCAACAGACCACAGAGGGCATCAAAATATGTTTGGAACTTCAGGGGAAAAAATCAGCTGTGCCTTGTGCACCACTTTTTTGTCCTTACCCATTTTTTATGTTTTCTATGATCTATTGCTGTACAGATGCACAAAAAGTGTAATCACTTTGCTAACTAATGACAATTGCAAAAACTATTGTTGGTTTTTTGTCAAATAGAGCTTCTTTGTTTGTTTTGTAACCCTTTTACGCATGAAAACTTAGTAGCTTGTCATTATGTTGTTTATGTCATCCAATTCAACCAATGAAAGATATGCATACATGGACTCTTGATTTGTCTGGAGTGGTATTCAGTTGAATCAGGGACAAGGCATTATTTTTCGCATAGCTGGGAGGAGAGGGCGGAGAATTTTTTGCAGGGAGTGAAGAGAGAGAAGTCATTGCTAACAGAGTAAAAAAAGGTGACTATAAAAAGTTGACTGCCAATCATCTCCTAATGAGGAGTTGATGTAAATTTTACCACGACGCTACTGAAATCCCCTAAATTTCTTTCTCGAGGATACTTCATGTTTTTTTTTAACTGGCTTGCCGAGCAGGCGTAATTTGGCAACAAGAAGAGAGGTAACGGCAAAACTATCTTTTTAATTCTCACACTTTCATGCTTTACCTCTCTTCTTGTTGTCACTATTCATCTTAATTAGCATTGTTCTACTTACTATATAATTCAACTTTCAACGCTTTGTACAGTAATTAACTGAAGATGACAGACGTTTTTGTCGAAACATGTCTTACAAAATCAAAAGTATTGTCGCTTTCTTTAAATTCTTGACTTGCCTGCTGATATCAATACTCTTAATGTACCTAGTTGCACGAGTACATGCAAACCACAGGTCGCTAATGGATCAAAATAAAATCTTACAACAAACGCCTTTAAGTACGTTGTCAAGGTTGTCGCAGAGGTTCGTCAAATGAAAAGCATGTCCCATTTGAACCAGCTTCTTCCTTTAGGTATCGGAATCGAACTCTAGACCTCGGAAATTGGGAGTGCAATGCCCTACTGAGCCACATAGAGTCCATTGTTAGGCCTGTTAGTCTCGATATTGCACACTTCCTTTACAATGCTAGGCCAAGGATCAGCGATATCACTTTAAAAATCGTCATATAATCGTATAAAATGAAACGGATGTTACGTTTCAAGCCCAGTCGTCGATTAAGTAAGGATGTTGACTTCTCTAAAGAGTTCGAGATGATCCATCGCCAGAAATCAGGAGTAGGAGTAGGAGCTTTCCTATCCCAGCTGCTCGTTTACCAAAGCTTAAATGATCTAAATGGGCGCACAAATTTACAAGGCTAGCGCTGAGGCTCTAATGTTGAGAAGTGGATAACTCCTACGGAAGAAGGACATTAATTGCAAGAGAAGTTTGTCTTCGAATATCTTTATTTTATCCGCTATTTAAACCTGAGAGCTCAGTTATTACTATCAATCTCAAATAAAATATTTCTGAAATTTGATTATTTCTACTGAATAAGGTTATTAAAATAATAGAAACAGGAATTTCATGTCCAAAATTACGTATGTCGTGTGCAAGTTGAGCGTGCGTATATAGGAAGCATAACTGACGGTCCAAATCTGTCACGGATGACGTGCAGAAGGCAGGAATTTCTAGAACAAAAATAAAGAAGATAAATTTATCTAAATCTTACAGAAAATGAATTTGATAAGACCGAAAAATAAGTTCGATATTGATAGAATTCGCGTAAGGATTACGGTAGCCACACAGTCCTAAATCATGCATTTCCATGCATTTCTCGGCTTTTGATGGCCCTGTAAAGAAGTTAAGATCCCATTATCATATATAGGGAGTTATCAATTGAGTAGACATTTTAAGATAAAATGAGCATGATATTACCTTTTCCCGGTGTGTTCTATGGCGTTTGATTTTAAAAAGTGATAAATTTCGTGTCACATTTGAAAAATTCAGCCGGAGATATCCGGAGACATGTATCTTCGAACCTCTTTACTTTTGTTGAAACGCACTCTTGGATCACCACGCCATTACATGTAAACAAGATATCTGTTTTAAAAGCATCTGAGAAAACAAACATCACATTTAAAAATCAAAAGTCGACAAATTATTTTCCTGACCATTTACTCATGCAGATTAAAACATAAATTCGTGCGACTTTCAGTTGAAGAAATATAACATGGATACTTTACTCCTAAAGCTCAGGATCCTTATGGTATTTATGAAAAGACAAATCGGAATTTGTACAAATGTTATGGCCGTAATAGATGCAGCGATGGTGGACCATTCTTCACACTTCGCAGTAGGCCGCGATTGTCCTTTACCCAATTCGGACCACTGCCGAGACCATTCTGTGACGAATAAAGCTAAAAAGGTTTATTCTCCTCATTGATCGTCCTTTTTCACAACTTAAACGCCTCAAAGACGCGATTTAGTCTTCCTTTCCGCCCCTAAATACCAATATAAGGGAGATTTGTGGCGTCATTAACTAAAGATTTCTAACTTGAGAAAGCAACTTTAGTAGTCTACGACGAGTCAATGTTGACACATTACAACTCCATAGCGGATTAAATGTGAACCTCAAAAATTGAGGTTGTTAAGTATTCATATATTCAGGCTATTGTTCTTTCTCATTACTTATTCATTCCGATGAGTTTTCCGACATGCTGGCATGCTTCCGAAGATCGTGAAGAGCGCAACTTCTTTGATGTAGGTGAGATATTTTTCTTTTGTTAACAGATGAACGGAGGAAAATTTACAACAATTGCGTTGTCCGATTTGCTGACAACTTTCGCTTTTGTCCAAATTCCTAACTGATCGACAGCTTCGACAGAATCGCCAACACTAAACTCCATCGCGACAATAAACAACACGGTCAGATCACAACAAGTTCATTCGAACAAGACGAAAGTTGTGAAAGAATGAACCGCCAGCGCGCGAACACGAGCACTATTTATGACACGCAATATTTACATAATAAAGAAGTAGTTTAATTCAAGTGCACTCATTCGGATCAAAACAAAACGATCGGCGCTCGAAATGATAAACTATTTTCGCTTTTGCTCTTCGAAGTGATTACAACAACTCGTCCAAGATCCATTTTTAAATCTTTTGCGACGCTCTTTAATCCTAAAAACATATTAAGGCTAAAAATACACCGTGAATAGAAACTAAATCCATTCAAATGATTGCAGTTTAACGATCTCGAGTTCATTCATCTCAAGACAATGTAAACAAAAGGATACAAGATCACAAGTCTGTTCGCGCAAGGTAGTTTAATTACACTATTGTCCAAGTCTTTTGAAGTACCTTCCGCAGTTCCTTTGGTCTTCTTCCAAAATATCTCACCTTTTTCGAAACGAATAAAACCGAAATCATTCGACACGTTTTCGGCAGCCACCGAAAGCAATGCCCAAAGGAATAAACCGAGCCTTCGAGGTAAACAATCCAGCGGTGTCACCCATTTCAGTAAGTCACAAATAATCCGGGCTGGAGTCGTAATGCACCATGTTACTCTCGGTCCCACTCTCTTGTCTATCCCTAGAGGGGGCATCAGTGTTTTGGGCATTGGAAACGCTGTGACGTCAACATTTCCATTTCAAACTTCCGCCCTTGTGCATTAGTGGCGACTCGACAACTTCAAACTTGTTATAATGGCTACAAACTATGAAAAATTGAGTGAGATTGGACGTGGAAGCTGGGCAGTGGTTTATAAAGCTAGATGGAATGGTCAATTGGTTGCAGTGAAACAGCTTCATGAAGCCCTCTTCAATCGAGAAATAAATTCTCATGCGCCTGAAGCTGTAAAAGTGTTTGAGAAAGAATGCAAGTTGCTTCAAAATTTAAAGCACGCCAATATAGTCGAGTTGCTCACATTTGATTTGAAATCTTCACCACCAGTTCTTATCACAGAACTCTTGTCCGTCGACTTGGAGAGTCATATCACAAATTTGCGCCCTAACAAGGTTCCATTCAAAGAAACAGTTTCGATCATGTCAGACGTTGCCGAAGGTCTCAGTTATCTTCATCAGAGGAATCCGCCGATAGTACATCGAGATTTGGCTTCTAAGAATGTGCTCCTGACTGAAACGGGGCAAGCGAAGATTGCTGATGTTGGCCTTGCCAAGGTCGTTACTTCAGAAACTGCAATGATGTACGCGTCTCCTACACCGGGAACACAAGCGTATGCCGCGCCAGAAACGTTCCCCAACTCCCAGCAAGACCAAGTACAATACGACATCAAGATTGATATTTTTTCCTTTGGAATCATCTTGATGGAAATTATCAATGGAAACCTCCCTTCACCATCAACGGATTCGCCCTTTACCAAAGGTGAGTATACTTAGAACTGCCGTATATGGAAATTTCAGCGTAAATATTTTTACATCATTGCTGGATTCCCGGCAGTCGGGCATTGCCGTGAATGAACTAAATGCCCAGCACACTGATGTTTCCGCAGAATTTTCACTGGAAGGCTCTCTCGAACTTCTTGAGTGTATCAGCGATTTTTTTATAAGTGTCGAAGGGTTCCAAAATAGCGCTGATTTCATAGTTAACAAATGATGTGCGTTATTTACCACAGGGCATGAAATTGCGCCAATGCGGCTAAATTTTTCATTTTGGCGACCAAATCCTGAAAATTAGTCGCCAAATTGGCGACTTGAATGCTTCATCATAACTTTAGGCTAAACTCCAGAATACCCGGCCACTTTGTTCCGCCTCACTTACATGTGTCGGGAGGCTTTGAAGATCGAGGCATAACACAATAGACGCTATCCTTATTCAATGACATGTAAATAAGTGGCCGGGTATTCTGCAGTTGATCCAAACTTTAATTAGAGACTTAGAGAATTAAAAAGATTAGCAAAGATAAATCCGTGGCAAACTTCCTCGTTAAGTTTGTTTCCAAAACGCAGCACATGCATCTCGATCAATAACTAACTAGACGCCATCTTGGATTTAGGTGAGCTTGAAGGTTGTATATCATCCATTCTAGTGTCCATGTTGTAGCATGTTAAAGATCTCTCTCCCAGCTTAATTTGAAGGGTCTATGTAGGACACTGACAGCGTAAAAAAGGTTTTGTTTTGCCTTTAAAAATGGCGACTAACTTTTTTTTGAATTGGCCACCACTTTGAAGAATTTAGGAGTTTGTCGCGGCTTGGGTCCTATTCTTCACCAAAGCACTGCGTTTTAAACGGTGGGTGCAAGGTAGTCCCATGACATCAAAACTACCAAACGTCAGATGTCAAACTACCAAAACGTGTACCAAACGTCAGTTTGAAAGAGTGTCAAAAAGGGGTTTTCTTTTGCAAAGAGGAAAATTCAGCTTTATCTGAGCACACATACCTAACTAACCATACAATTAGGAGGGATAATTCTAAAATTATCACCACTAATCATAGGCGGCCCAAGCTCCAGCTGTGACATGATCATCTTGCGCAATAACAGTCATGGCGGAATTATAAGAGTTTGTATGGGCATATTTACGACCGCCCTCAGGAATAAACAAAATACGTCAAATTCTCAAAAAAAAAAATACCTCACCTTACTTCCACAGTGTATCATTTGTTATCTGACCGCTTACTTTGATGAAAAGAGCCCATTTTAGCGAGTTGTTCATTTCGAGGTTTTCAACGTTCATAAGAAAAGCCTTGGGCTTTCATATTAACTCCTCCCACGCTCCTTTAAATCGTGACGATGGCGGTTTGCTTCCTGACGCCTATTTACACCTCGTCAGAAAAAAGGCCGCTAATTAGTGATCATATAAAAGGATCTCTTGTTGCAGCGTTTAGATCGGGAGTTACTACATCACGGGCGACGAGCGGGGATAGAAAAAACGACCCAAATATGAGCGGTCAGCGGTGAAACAGCTTTTATACTTCATATAAAGACATGTAATTTGTTGTTCCAGAGACAATCGTGTTGTAAAGCCGAAATGTTAACAGTTTACTTCACAGTTTAAGCAATTTTTCAAAAGTGTTGATTGAACTCATATCTTTTACTGCTTTAATAAACAATGGAGGCTTCGGGGAGGGAGTCAGTGGCATTTGGAAAGGCACCAAGAATAATTACATATATGGTTTGTAGCTAGCTGCGTGACGTGCGTGACGAAAAAAAAGTATCATGATTTCCGGTTGTCAAAATGTCAATCAAATTTGGCAGGAACTTGGTTTTCGCACTGAAGTTTGCTTTTAATGGAAGATTTTGCCATGGATGAAGACCAAAAGCCAACAATGTTAAGAGATTTAGAGATCGACTTTTTGAAAGAACATCTCAATGGCTTTTCTGTTGAAGGCAATTATTGTTTTGGATATTTCGAGGGAAACAGCAGAGATGGATGATCTGTTAGTTTAATTTCAGGCATTGAACTCCACGTGTTATGTACTTACAGAAAGCCATTCAAAAGAGAAAAACCACAACAGATTTTCTCAAACAGGTATATAATCTCTCAGTGTTTTAAAGTGCACAGATCCCGGTTTCCTATCCTGAGTCAAGAGGTTGAATTTAAGCTTATTCAAATGGACTGATTAATTTTCTTTTTACGATAGCTGCGGCCAGTTTTTCCATGCAAGTTGTCTGGATGTGCCTTTCGCGGAGACGCTTACGCAACATTTCACCTGCCTTTAGGGTGGCTTCTTGTCAGCACAAGTAAAGTTTAAATTTTAAAGCTGACTATAACAACGAACCAGATGATGAACTTAATGTCATGTACAGACCTTAATTTGCAAGATAAGAAATACAGTCCTTGGTAGTCAATTAAGATAGATTTCCACGAGCGTCAATGGTGCAGAATCGTAACTTGATGGAGCCAACAGTGGACAACATCCCAGAATTCAAACTTTGTGAATTTTTTCTCGGCTTAAACGCTAAGTCAGTTGTTCAATTGAATAGGAAGAAAAACATTTCGAACGGAAAACAGAATTATTTGCACGTGTGAATCTTTGGAGAAAAGGTCTCCTAAACGAGTGGTCTTGATTGTAAATATTTAAGGAATGGTAAATACATTAGCCTTAACATGGCTGTTTCTCGAAGCTCAGTGTTTTCCTACTTGCCTTTTTTCGACGTGAATTGGGGGCGATTGAATAGATATAATATGCAGTAAAAGAACTTCAGCTGATAGAAATTTTAAATTTCTCATCTTAGGCTGTGGATACAAAATTCAAGTGAAAAGGAAGCCAACTGTGATTAATGTTTTGAACAAGTCAAGATACGTTTTTTTCGTCACACAACAAGTTACATAACGTTAATATCATTCTTCTTGATGCCTTTCCCGGTGTCACCAATGTCTTTCCCGATGCCTCCGTTGGTTAATAGAGCATTAAAAGTATTGTTCCAGTTAAAGCTTGAGGAAAATTGCTTAACTTTTTAAGTAGCGAAGTGTAACTTGGTAACATTTCGGTTTTACAACACGATTGTTTTCTGCAACTACAAAACGTACATTTAATTCTTATTGGTACCTTTCGGATGCCACCGATGCCTTCATTGTTTATTAAAGCAGTAAAAGATATATGTACAATCAACACTTTTGAATTGCTTAACATTTTATTTAGCGAAGTAAACTGTTTACACTTCGGCTTTACAACACGATTGTTTCCTGATACTACAAATGATCTGTCTATATATGAAGTATGAAAGTTGTTTCACCGCTGACCACTCGTATTTGGGTCGTTTTTTCTATCCCCGCTCGTCGCCCGTGATGTAGTAACTCCCGTTTAGATCACCCCTGATGAAGGCACTAGACAGGAGTGTCGAAACGTTGGGTCTATGAATTGTAACTTTTTCGGTTACATTCATTAAATCTGTAAACCAGAGTAGCATCAAACTATGTCTCATTTTCATCACTTTCCTAATTTAAAGATTAACTTTTAAAATTCAAACATTTCTGTTTCTTTCAAGCCTAGAAAGAAAATTAGAGTTATTGGTATCTACCCATACACCAAATTCTTGTGCAAGTGGTGGGCATACCACATACTCCAAAGCAATTTCTATCAGTAGTAAGTCAGTCCTGGCTCATAAACAAAGGGCAGAGCAAACCTGATTTATATGAAACTTAAAGGATAGCAATTTTTTGACACGTAAAAGGTAGTTTGTTCTTTGTACCTTTGTATTATCAACGTATTTGGTAAACATTGCTTCCCATTTCTTAGTCCTATTTTCTGAAGTAATTTTCGCTCACATAAATTAGTGTCTATCAGTACAAAAAGCTCGTGCGTAACGGCATCACAGTATTGCTGTAGGCTGGAAGATATATTCTTAAAGTATTTATTCTGGCACACAAAATAATTTTTTCCCTTGACAGCAACACTTTACAAAAATAAAATGGTGCGTTAAAAAGAAACTGCACCTCGTGTCACAGGAGTTGAGCTGCAAATGAACGTCTAGCAGTTTACCACAGATTACTCATCACACAAAGAAGACATATCAACACTTGGTCATGTGCGTTGGAGATTTTGTTTTCATCATTTAGAATTATCTCCACCCATACTAAAGTGCTGTAACAACACAAATCTCAAAAACCATTCAGATAGCTTAGGTGAAAAATTCAGAACAGATCGCTTAAATTGCAATTGAACTCACATTTCCAAGTTGGCAGTTGTTTGTTGTGTACTGATGTGTTCTGTGGGCAGTTTCCTCTACGAATTTCTTCTCATGCACCATACACCTCACATATTTTATCAAGAAAGACATAATAAATTCCAGAAGAGCTCGGAATAGATTTCCCTTGTCTTCCTAGTGAGCGAAGAATGATTGAAATGGAAGTCAGTATGAACAGTATAGCTACCTTTGTCTTTGCCGCCAGCTTACAAAGACTGCCTTGTGTTGTTTAGCGATTATTGAAGCTGATCTCCATTAAAGGTAGCTATAGCGGATTTTCAATATGTACACTCGCCTTCGTCCGCAATGGCAGCAATAGCTAAGGACAACACACATGAACGAGAGTATGAAGGTAGCCTCATTCGGCAAATTATTGAAGAACTGAGAATACAAGAACACGCTGTAGATTCTGCTTTAACAAAATAGCGTGCGTTTGATGAAAATCATCCGCAGATGGTAAAGATAAGGAGCGACAGAACTCCGTTACGAGTTTCGACGACGAAACTTGAAAAATTGTTCGATCATGATTCCTTAGTTTTTGAACAGGCAAACATATTTAGTTGAGAAGCAAGTGAATTTTACTCCCCTATATTTTACTGAAGGGTGTAAACTGGAGACAGTTTACTTGGTACCTCAAGCTGTTGATTTGCCTGTATGTCTGGACTGTCTAAACGAGGGCATGGTACAATAAGTAAAAGCAAGGGAAATTGATGGGACGTTTCGATATATTTTACAAATTTCGAAACGTTCCGAACATTTCCGACGGGTTTCTGTTATCTATCCGAAGATATTTCTTCAAATACTGAGAACGCTTTTTACTGTTTGACGTTAGTTTAAAAGATCGGAACCTAAAACGGTGATTAAAGTCCCTTTCCACTGGACCCCTCGTAAACCTCTCGCCGGCTCGACACCACAAGCCAGAGTGAAATACTTGTTCAGGAGCACCAAGCTAATTAAAATTTACTTTCAAACCAACAACATCCGTTTGGAGATATATTGTGCAGGAGCATGGCGCCAATAGAACTTAAGTATGAATATACTAATGTTGACTAGATATGCAGTTCATGTGTTGTTGGAGATATAAACATGGCGATTTATCTTATTATTAGAAAAAACCAACATGTTAGTCATCGAAAGTGTTATCGGTTACCGCTACCAATCAGATGGCGCCGGATTTGTTACTCGCACCAATTATATTGCGCTTGCTGTTTCAATTGCAACAATCGCACAAATCAGACTTATTAGAGTATGTTGCTCGCGTGCTTTAGACTGGTAAGAGTATGTTGCTTTCACCAATCGAGTAACGGTTTTATTGCTCGCACCATTTAGATGGCGGCATTAGCTTTTGACACATTTTTTAGAATAAAAAAATTTTGTTTTGGCAAGAGTATTAAATTAATTAAGATGTTGCATTTCCTGTTATGTGTCTGGGTAGAATATAATTTAAATTTCCGTAGGATGACGTACAACTCTGTCCTTTTTTTTGTTTTACAGATGGCCGAAAAATTCCAGAAAAGGAGCGTCGTAAACAAGATATTGACATGATGGGGAAAAATAAGTTGAAGGATATTGTTTTCCGCTGTATTGAGGACAAGAGTTTCAAGAGACCTCATGCCGAGGAGCTTATTCGAATGCTTCGATTACAATCCTCAAAGATAAGACAGAAAGAATTGATTGCGAGTAGTTATGGACTACCAACAATTCAACTTTTAGTTCTTGGGTCGATAAGTGTTGGAAAGTCATCCCTTATTGCGCGATATTTTGACGGTGAATTCAACGATCGAATCTTTGTAACCATGAGCCGGCAGATCAGGGTAACTAAGATCTGTCTACATGACCGACGCTTTAATTTAAAGGTTGTTGACACCGCAGGTCTAGAAAAATATATATCTGCTCTCATTACATCAGAGTTTCGGAAAAGTCAAGGGATCGTTATAACGTATGATGTGACAGATCCTCGTTCCCTTCACGATGGTGTTAAGACAATTTATGAGCTTATCAAAGACAATGCAGCGGATGATGTGAGCATGATTTTAGTGGGAAACAAAACAGAAGAGCCGCGGCTTCTCAGTGAAGAAGACGGACAAAGATATGCAAAAAACTTTAAAATTCCTTATATCGAGACGAGTGCAAAAACTGGAAAAAATGTCGAAGAAATGTTTGAAATGATCATAAAAGAGATCGATGAAAGCTTGGATTTGTCTGATATTGATTCGTACGTCACAAGCCACGAAAAAGTACAACTGCCGCGAGCACCACCTACAGGGGCAGGAAAACCCAAAGAGGGAGCAAAAAGGAAAGGTTCCTGTTGTTTATGGGGGTAACTGTAACTGTAAATGTTTTAATTGCTTTCTGTTTGGGTAATGAAAACTCATGTTCTGTTGTAAAGCACGCAGGAAGCGGCTAAAGCACGAAAGAAGTGAAGGGAGAAACACGAGATGTAGTCGAGTATTCCTCCCTATCTCTTGCGCACTTTAGCCGCCACACAGTCGAGGCTTTTAATTTGTTTTATAATCAATAATCCGTTTAACTCTCCTTGCATTAGTTACTATGTTTAAAACAAACTCCATTTATATCATACTCTCATAAAGCACGCTAAATAAGCCAAACAGAATATGCGTCAGAATGGTTCGAATAAATTGATTGGTTGAATAATACTAAAGCTGTCAAAATGTCAAACCATCAAAGTTCTCAATCTGCATTAGTTCACAAACTGAAAAAAAAGATCGGTCGAATTCCACACTTTTACTTGCAATTTTTTTCAGTCTTAAACAGGATCGGAACTGAGTGAAATGCTCACTGAAATCCGGTCAAACTGTGGCTCACGAAATGACGTGACAATTAAAAAACAAAACAGTGGGCATACCAGGGTTTGACTAATACCTTGGACGTATCAATTCCTTTTTAAGTAAAGAGGGAGGGTCACATGTACCAATGGAACATCAAATAGTTGTTACCTTATCCTCATACATGCAAATAGTGGACTAGAAAGTGGGAGAATTTAAAGTTACTTTAAAGATTTTAAAGTTATTTTAGAGATTTTAAAGTTATTTTAGAGACTTTAAAGTAAAGGTATTTTAATGGCTCGTAGGGTGAAAGTTGTCAAGAGAAATGTTTGTTGACGTCGCAACTAACCAGTCTTATGAAATTTTGGCTTAATGGAACTTTAGATAACGATTGAAACTTTCTGTCGAGTTCAGTTATTTGATTGATAATTATAGTTTTCCTGAACTGTAGCAAGAGCTCGTAAAAACGAATGTGTCTTCTAGTCTACTTTAGACAATTTTACATAATTATTACAGTAACTAGAGTTGTTACTGAAGTTATTTCTAGGTTTATAAAGAATTTTTTGCATATTTTTTACCTGTATACCATGTTTGCCGGGTAGAATAGTTTTTTGTGTGGATAGGTACCGTCAAATAGGATTTGATATATTTCCCTCGTTCAGTTTCAAGCTAATCTGACTGTAAATACATTTACTTGAAAGTTTATTATAGTGATTTTGATACCTGTTTTAGTTCATTTGCAATCGTGTCTTTAGTCCAAAATGGTAGAGTATAATCTACTCCTCCAAAGCAAAGTACTAAAGAACTGTTTAAAAATTTTACTGTTGCGGACTCTTGTATTTAGGATTTTGCTGGTTAATAAATTATACGTTTCATGTGATAGATGTACTTAACGTATAACTAATTTGTGACTGAGAAACCCAAGGTTTGAGCTTTGATTAATTGCAATAAGGTATGAATTTAAAACCAAAGAAGAGATTTTATTTCTTACAGTTCATTCCTAAATCAAAAACACAGAGTTTAACGGGAAAACTTGAATGTTGAAAGTAAATCTTGAAGTTAAAATTAGAGCATGAGAGTCCCCGAGAGATTGAACATGTGACTTAGCTACATCGTTGAGTTATTGAAACATGGTTTTGTTCAATGTTCCATCTGTAAAGTGAAAGATTCGTTTCGTAGTCCAACGAGTTTGATCAGTAGAAGTATAGCAAATACATGTTGAATTTTTAAAACTTTTTAAAATTTTCACCAGGAGCATATGTGTCCTATCACAATTACGATTAATTTTTGACATTTCTTTCTTTTTAATGCCTCCAAAGTGTAAAAGTTCACATTCTTTTTATGTATTCCTTTTGAGTCATCATACATCTCAAGCATCAATCCAGCGAATATCCTGTAGCCACACATTTCACTCCCCATGCCTATCTGATGAGGGTGGCAACAGCTTTGGATGTATCATCCGTCCTCGCAATCTATAGAAGACGTCTGAGTCATGAAACAAAAGGCTCTTGTCAGGTGTTGATAGAGGATATGATGGTGGTGCGAATCTTTAAAATTAGAATTTTAACGGAAAAGGATCAGAAGTATTTCAAGTCACCCCTGTTTGTTAAAGAATATGCAGGAGAAAATTGATAAGATAAAGTTGGCCGTCAATGCCCAGTCAGCACCAAGTCATGAAGAGTAACCAAAAGCTTTTAAAGAGTCTGTGTAAAGCTGCCCCGACCCCCTCCAGTCGAAAAAAAAAATAAAATAAATAAATGAATAAAAAATCAATCAATCAATCAATTATCATGAAAGGGATATTCTAGAACAGGATCAACGACGGCGCCACACAGATGTCCCTACCCAATTTATTTTAATTTAGGAGCGGCTGTATGCAGGCTATTTGTAAAAAATAAGCAAATTCTAAGCAATTTAAAGTGATACGCATATATTTTGCTACCGGGGTATGCATTTTTTCCCCCGCACGTCTCAAGGGCACAACGCCTTGCCCCGGTTTGGACTAGAACCCGGTTCGTCCGACTCGGAGCCCAGTGCACTGACCACTAGACTACTTAACAAAGCCGTGGCGTTGGCGTGCCCGCGGAACAGTTGACCACGCATGTTAAAAGTAGCACCCTGTACGGTCGTACGGTCGTATATCCAAATTTTTTCGGCTTGATGGGTTACTGCTATTATGTATAATTATGGGGCTACGCTCTACGAGCTCAGCTATAAATGGTTACAAGTCAGTGTTCTGTGGGGAGATGATGCAATGTTACTGACGTGGATCATAATTATCCTTATAGTGGTCCAAGGCGTGTGAGGTGTAGTATTCCCTATGCACATACAAACTATGCTAATCTAAAAATATAAATGAATGGGAGAGGAAAAGTATTTGATTATTTACATATGTTTATGCAAGATGGTGGAATATACATCAGGTAAGCACACATGTACCTGTGAGAGTTTGAACTGACGTAGTTATAAAAAAAAATAATGTTAACTAGTAGGTTTCACTGAAAAGTACATTGATACCTATCTGGACAGCTGACAGTCTTTACTGCGTCAAATAGCGAAACTTTACCACATCCCACAAATGCAAACGCTTATATGCCAACAAATACACCTGTTTGGGCAATTAAAATAGCAGTAGTAGTCACAGGTAAAGGCAAACGTACTATTGCAATAGAGATTTAAAATCAATTGACTTCATGCAAGAAAAATTGTTAACGAATTGATGATGTTGGGCGACACGCTGGACGGTGTTTAATGTTACATCTTCACCACCTTCAATTACCAAGTGGGTTTGAATCGCCTTGAGTACCAATAATCTTTGTGGAGCCCTCGCAGCAGCCGACAATTCTCAGTTTTTTCGAATTCTGCTCCCCTCACACATCACCGGTACATGAGCCTATACAAAAGGTTCTGTCACTATAAGCGATAAATTATCGTCGAAACTGCAAGTAAATGGCAGGCACAAAAAATTGATTTTACCAGGTCCAAAAGGCGTACAATATCAGAAAGGTGAAACAGCGAAAAAGCCACCAACCAAGGCAAAATTCTCATCAAGGAAAAATATTTCCAAAATGAATAAAGGGGGCAAGTTTCTAAAGAAACTGTGGTGCTGCGTCGGTGGGAGAGCATATTTATCTTATTAGACGTTTTGGTATGTAGTATCGCTGAGTATTTTTACGAGTTGTGCCGTATTTTGACGAGCCTGTAGGGCGAGTAAAAATACTCGGTAATGCCACACACCAAAACGTCTACTAAGTTATTTATTATCCAACTGCTTTGTTTTTTCTGCTGAGTCTTTCTGCTCATTGCTCATAAGGCGGGAAAAAAAAGGGGATAGAGAAGCGTAGCGCGCGCAGCCGACTGGTTAAACAGGTTTTTTTACACTACAAAAAACCAATTGTCCAAATAACCGTACAATATCTATGCACTCTATTCGCGCGTTATTTGTACAGTTGGATAATAACACAAGGTAATTTGTTACTATCAACTAACTTTATAACATATATTGGTTACCGTAAAGGCTTCAAAGCTGACTTTTCCAACGTTAGCCTATCGTCATTTACTTTGACGAAAGGCTGAAGCTCGAAGCGTCAGCTTTGAAACTCTTTACAGCGGCCAATTTACCTCACCAACTCCGTTGATAATACCAAATTACCTTGTTATTTCCAAAATGAACGCGCACCACATGTTTGCGCAAATTGAGTGTGAATATTTTTAGAAAAAAAAATAACTCCGACCTACCTGTATCGCTTCATGGTAATTACACTCAAAGATCCAACCTGTCTATGACCTCGCTAAAAAAGATCTTACACCACTAATCTTCTGCTTTCCCTGGTTAAACATCGCTATTTTTGACGCTTCTGGAGGCGAGGGTAATTGAAGAACAACAGGCGACGCTTCGTTCTGATCAGCTCAAGTCGGCAAACTGCACATAACAACAAAAATATGTCTCCCCTGTACCGCTTTACGTTAAGACGTGGTTTTATAATGAAAGACCCATTCAAACTGACTAACCTACCTACTTACTTACTTGCCTACTTCCTATACTACTTACTTATCTACTTACTTACTTACATATCTACCTACTTACTATGGAACGATCGTGTCCGGTGTGGGAACAGGCCCCTTAATAAGCTTTCTTTTTAGCTGAATTCATCGGCCACCCTCCCCTGATTTGATAAGTGGTATGCGTTCGTAACAGCCGTCTTCGAAGCGGACGGGGCATAGCCCCACCGGGCCGACGACTTTGAGTGGGTAAAATCTCCTCGATGTCGACGATCGAAACGCGTACATTTTGGCCACACAGCTTCATCCTTTAGAAAGAAGTATATAGAAATACCCGGTCTATGTGTATTATTCTTGTAGCTAACATCATTTAGCGCTTCGGCCACGCAATGTGTTCTCCTTCTCTTCATGATTTCTCCCTTCTCCGCCATAGTTGCTGACGTGTCAGCACAGTTTGCTACGTCACAGTTATCTGACATTATCGTTTTGCCACGCATTAAATGGAGACATTTTTCCGTCACCAAATCGTAATTTCAATGCGCAATCACGAAGAACACATTAGGCGCTAAGGTCGATTATTTCAAATTTTAAATAGAACTATCAACCAGAAAACGCAAAAAGAAAAAATCGTATCATAGGAACTTTAGAGTTTTTTCTCGCGTTCATTCGACATTCT